GGGGAGCAGGTGAGGCTTATGCTCTGGGTGCCAGATGGAAGAGAGGCCTAAATTTAATCTTTCTTTTCCAATCAAACATTTTAACCCCAGTGTCTGTTTCTCTGGAAAAAAAATAACATAAAACCTACTTATTTGCCTATTCTGAGGGCAAAGTACTGTAGAAGAAATTATGATCAACTGCCAGAGAAGCACCCAAGAGGGGGTTCATCGGGCTTCAGTCCCCAACTCCACTCACCCAAGCCAAAGAGACGTATTAAAAAATGTAGCTTTACGAAATTTTCTATACTAAGGAAAGTTATTCAATATATCAATTATTATTGTTATAAATATTATCTACAAGTCAAAAAATAATAATATAATAAATAATAATATATTTTACATTCTGCTTAAATGAAAAATCCTTTATAAGAAAATATTAGTCAGCTGGATACTATATCTGAAGCCTACCCCCGAGAAAAATCCTGGATGTGCCTCTGCCCAATACTACTGAATTGTATTTTTGTTAACCATTTTTTAAATTAGTATTTTTATCTTGCTTCTTTTAAATAATAATATAAATATTTGCAAACTAATTTCATGTGGCATTTCTATTTGCCGAATGTTACTTTCATTGAATATCTCAATTTTTTTCTCAAAAACCAATATTTAAAATAGCTGTTCCTAAAACTATATTGAAGGTACCTACAATATTAAAATTAATATTTCTTAATAGTATGTCATTTCTAATGATGTTGATATTTGTGCTTTAAATGATCTTCTAGCGACACACTGATTGGGAAGCTGCTGCTGGACTTTTGAAGGGCATATATGAAACACTGTCAAGATATCCTTATATTGTGCACATGCAACACCTGAAGGCTCTCATTGGAACCTGTCAAGTATGTGTAACATTCTCTCTTTTCTTCAGTATTTAATAAATGAAAAGATACACAAAGATTATTATTGTAATAAGAAATAATTTTATCAAAATATTTGTTTGTGCAATTTTTTCATTCATAATTGATCTAAACATTAACTCATAAAAATTCCTTAAGTTCATTTGTTCAGAAGGAATTAATTTTGTCTGTTGTTGCATATCTCTCTGTAAACTTAAATTTCAAAAACTTGAATTTCAGAACTTTAATACTTATAGTAAGAAAATTATTTTGACTTCACCTGGTAAAATTCTTTTTAAAAAAATTTTTTTTTTTTTCAATAAGATGGAAATATTGAATGTTTATTGAATTCAGGCTCTAATTGTTGGGGATTCCAACACTTCAAGTGTTGGCGAATGCATTTCTTCAGCTAGTGTAGCACTTATGAGTCAAGTGCCACCTCCTCACTTTTGCTCCACTGTGGTGAGACTTATTGCCCTGCAAATTCTTGCTATTGGGGTAAGTGTGCCTCCTAATTTTATTTTTTTTTTACAGTAAAATTCTGCCTTATTCTTTTACATTTATTAAAATATGTTTTCAGGATGAATTGACCATTAAGTAATGATGGATTCATCTAGTAGCAAGGGCACATTTTACTTGTCAGATTTGTTTCATATTTGTCATGAAAATCCATTTTCTTTCAAATATTTCCTTGTTGTCCTCAAGATTGCTCAATAGTTTCATGTAGGAATATTTTCTTATCAAACAACAGTACTTCATATATACTTGACCGTACAACAAGATATGGTTGTAATGGATTAATAAAAATTTATATTTTAATAATTGGTTAATAAATTTCCATTTGTAGATGAGGCCGCTGCCTCGAATGGAAAGAAACAACTCCTGACTCCTTTATTGTTTACTCTTGTACATGCTATGCAGCTATAAATTTCTTGCAGTTAATGTAATTAGAAAATTGCCACCAAGAACTTCACAGGATTCAGAAACATGAACTGATTATCTTAATTAGTGAATGTTGTTACTAATCACAATGTGAAAGCATCATTTTCATCAATAGGAAGAAGAATATCATTTGTGTTGTACATATTCAGAATACATTTGTTATCAACTAAACCTGAGAAATATGCATGATCACAAATGTTACTTTTGCTGTTCATATACAACATTCTTTTGTGAATGGTCATGAACATATGAATGCCTATAATGATGAATGCTCTTTTTATGCTAATGTCTAATGATTTTTTCTTTTCTTCAATATTTATCTTCATATTATATTGCTGTATTTGAAAAGAAATGGATTTTCTTAAATTATACACCATATTTATATAAGCTGGTTTCATTTCAGATCTACAGTCATGTGACGCTGGTGAGACATACTCTAGGTGTGAACACTCCATTTTTTATTTGTGTGCCCCAACAGACTTTCAGACAGTCTTTATTCACAGGTTGTCTGTCCAAGCACACTGACCCTTTAACCCTGTACATTATTCCTCAAAATGTGATGCAGCTCTTTACGAGCTGATAGGCAGCAGTCCTTTGCAGCATGGTTGTGGGGTAGCAATCATCTGTTCCCAGTCTGTCTCTCAGCCCTTGCCTTGTTTCTCTTCTACATAGCATTGGCACGAGAATGGTTTGCTTGGCCTCCAAAACCTAGTTCACATTTTAACAGAAGTAATGCACACACATTAACGATATGAATTATAACATTTTGTCATAATTTTTAAAAGATAATTTGTCATGTGATAAATTATTGAAATATGCTTATATTTTATTGTGGCTATGTTTGGTGGCCTTGTGTATTACACATTCCATTATTACTTGTCTCTAATGCATCTCTTAAATTTCTATTAGTCATGAAAAAATATAGATATCTTTAGTCCATACATAGATCTAGAATTACTAAATAATTCTTTGGACTCTCTGTCATGCTGTGCAAGGGAATGTAGACTGATATTCATGCACTTCCATTCTTGAAACTTTTCAACATTATTCTACTACTGAATCTTGCATGTTTTACAGATGAAAGCTCTATCTTGATAGTTATTGCCCGTTAATTCCCCTAAAGGTAATATGTGAATTCTAGGCATGTATGATTAAGTAAAAGATAACTTTGAATTTGCAGGAAACATATTCCTTGGAACAAGTCTGTGGTGGAAGTTCTGTGTTTCCTACACAAGAAAAGACTGAAAACATGCTCATGAATCTTCTTATGCCTTTATGTTTACGAGTTGGAAGTGGAAGGAAAGGTATAATTATTATTTATATTATTTATTTGTTTACTCTGCAAGAAGCTTGTATTTGACACAAAAATTAATTTTTAAATTACATTAAATTTTCAGATGTTCCTCGATTACGACAGACTGACATTAGCTTTTGCTTGACTGTGGTTCTGCATGCAATGAATCCACCAGCCACTAAAACTGCTCCTGTAACTGCACAGAATATTAAAAATGCATCTGAGATGCGAGTTGGAAGCATATACAGTGGGAGAGATTCAAAGAAGTGCAGTCAAGTATCTCCATCATTGTATCAAGTGGCATTCTTAGGTGTGTAGCACTACTAGCTGAATGTAGCTGTGTGCTATCATTCTTCTAAAAAAAACATCTATTTTTTAGCATTGAAGATAATGATGATATGTTTTGAAAATGAACTGGTGTTGGACTGGTTACGAATTGCACGCACTGTAAGAGACCTTGGGAAGAGAAATGATGCGGGACCAATTTTTTGGACATTTTTAGACTTTGTTGTGACTCAAAGAACTCCACTTTTTGTTCTTCTTCAGCCCTTCATTATGCAGATGGTAAAGAAAAATTTGTTCATGTATGTTTCTGGGAAGTGTTTTTCTTAAATATATGAATATGAGATATGATAAAAAAAACAGAGAGATAGAACTGATTCTAAATTACAACAAAGAAATCCTTTTTATAATTTATGTCTCAAATAACATTTAATTACTATCAGTATTTTTCACAGATTAAGAACTCAAAAAGAAATTAAATTTCTGTCATTTTCTTTTTCTTTCATTTCTTTTTTTGTGAATATATCTATTTACATTCAACTATGGGTAGCAATATTTGATTAAATTTCTGTTATATCTTTTGTGAAAAGGCAATGTGCTTTAAACTTACTATGTTTTGTCTTATAATGAAATCTACTACTATAATAACAATTGCATGAACTGTTTTTAATATTATTGAATTTTGTGAAATATTATTAACATTATTATCGATTTTCCTATACATTTTTTAAATAACTTTGTTTTATTGCTAAGAGCTGATTATTGCATAGAAACTTATTTCATAAACAAACAAATTTTCATAAAAATAATTTATTAGCCTTCACTTAAAATCTTCCTTTCATTAAATTATCATTTTCAAAACAGCTAGCACAGACACCTGCCAATGATACAGAACGCCATCTTCAGTTTGTGATCAGAGAGAAAATGAAGGGCTTCAGTCTGCCTACACCCAAAGGTCGAGGATCATTACTAATGGATTTGGCACATGAAATGAAAGAACTAAAGGAAGAATTGGAGGACAGACGATATGGTAATTTCTCTTTTTGTACCTATTTCTGTAAGATCTGTTCCCCTTCTGTACTTTCATAAGTTAAATGAGAATTATTCTGGATTAAAATTTATTTTCATATTACATTATAATTTGTTGCCAGATGAGCAAAGAGACAACAAGAGACCAACTATTATAACTGATACACAGCCACAAACACAAACTCAACAACAGCTTCCAACAACGGGTCAAGGGACTGAGCCAGCTCCAACACAACGTAAGAGACCATCTCTGATTGACTTGCTGAGTGGAGATTTGGCTGCTCGCCGGGACAGTGCCACAGCTCATTCCAGTGAATCACATGCAGCAAGTCAAATTGCTCAAAAGGGTAAGATATTTTTATGAAGTTCTCTCTTGCTTTCCAAGTTTTGTGTAATTTGTTCTAGGCTAGGAAAGGTCATCTGCTGTGTTAACAAGATTTTATCAACGTGGACATTTCAAAATTTCATTTGAATGAAGGAATATTGGGTTGCACAAGGAAAAAGATATTGCATTTCTATTAATAAGAGGTTTGTAGCATTAATGTATAAATTAGGAAATTCCATCTCAACTATTTTTGTAAATATTTGTTGATAGAATCCAGCAAGCTTTGTAGATAAATGTGTAAATGGAAAATAATGCTTAGATATTGCTAAGAATGCAGTGAAGCAAGCTGGTATATACATATATGTTCGCTACACTGCTTTTATGCTGGATGTTGCGATGTTGTGCTGTCATTGTGGCTGCCCTGGACAGAGTCCGAGTCGGTGTCGAGCATCAGTCTGGGCTCGACTCAGTCAGCCCTGACACGCGGGGAGGCGAGCGAGGGCGGGGCAGGGGACACTCTGTCCTCCACCACTGCCAGCTCCTGTGTGGAGAAACTACCCGCAGGTATCGCCTACCCTGAACTGGCCTCCCACAACCATTTTCCTTTCCCCGGTGTTCTGTAGTGCCTCTCTTGCTGACCATATTGAGGCAGAAGCAGCACAAGTCATCTCAGTCTTCCCACATATGCACATAACATGCACGTTTTCCACTGACAGAATACAAAAGACACCAACTCAAAATGAGTAACAATGCAGAGTGCATCTTATTTCAGAATTAATTCTTTGTAGATATTCACACCATTTACTTTTATGCAATGAATCCAATTTAAATGTTGTAGAAGATAAATCTAACAGTTAAACAAAAGTTATGTTTAATTAATGAAAGAACAATCACTGTAGAAATAACTTGGGAAAATAACTTATTCCCTCTGCAGCAGATGGTGGATGAGGAGGTACTATGATCTTGAGCTGCTCTTTGTCCTCCTCTGCGTTTTGCTGTCATTGTTGCAAGTGAGACCATTTGCTGTTCACATCCCAACCAGTAGTCAGCACAGCTTCTGTAGTCAATTAGATTTGTACATAGCTGGCCCATATATCTGCTCTTCAATGTGAGCTCACTCTTCCAGTTTGGCTCAGTCAGCTTGTTGGCAGCTGCAAAAACCTGTGTGCCTAAGTTAGTGCAGGAGCTGTACAGATATTTAATTTGATGGCCAAGAAGAATTAAGAGTGAAATATCTCAGCATAGCGGATGTTTCTAAAGATGTTGCAATGAAATACATTCATAAAAAACAAAATGCATGTAGCTAGTATGCCCTTACAGAAAAGTTCTGAGAATAACAAACATTTGTTTGTTGGTACTAAATACTTACCAATTTCTCATGTATTATCTTCCTTTGTTTCAGTTTCAGCTCTCATCTGTTGCAAATTCTTATCTTGTTCATCAATTCTGCTATTAACTGCATATATGTAGGAGCATACCTTAGTGTGACAACTTTGGAATGATGAAAAGAAATGTTTTGTACATAAAGTGTGGTCTTCCTCTGCATGTGACAGCTTACAAAAAATGGGCAAATGGATGGAAGTACAGCTGATGTAGTGGCAATGGCATACTTTTTTTCCTTTCAGTGCTTCCATTTTCAAGTCTGATTGAAAGCATCTTCACTTAAGTTTACTTTTTGGTGTTTGGTTTGTAGATGTCTTGTCTTTCTTCTTCTTGAGAGAAGCAAGAAGTCTCCACTCCAGCACATGTTGTTGAGGTCTCTGGGCGCTGTTAGCCTTGTTTTGATGTGGCATGTTTCAGATAGGTCACGTCAGTCTTCTGCTAGTGATGAACGTAAAATATCAAGTCAAAAGACTGAAGCTTTCTTGCCTCATCAAAAAGCCTCCAAACTTCGTTTTGTGTCTTCAGTAGAGTATAGGCACTCCTCAGGTAATTGCACCCCGCATGACTTTGTCTTCTTCTTCTTCTGCATCCTCTCATGAATGTCCTTCATTTTTTCCTTCCTTTGTAGAAACTTCAGTTCATCTGCTTCTTAGCATAGGCTGGCATGCTGTCATCGCTTGCAGAGTAGCTGGATATATAACAACACATAAAAAAATGAGTAAGAACATTGCAATTGCAGTTTCTTTGTTATGATATTAGAAAAGCTTGTTATTTGTAACTGTTCATAGTACTTGAAAAGCTTTTGTAAGAACTGTTGTACTGGTACTGTATAAAAAGTATTGCAAGTGTGATGAATATACAAATTGAGGATATTATTCATCCAAAGACATATAATGCAGTATTACACTTACCTATGTGATTGTAAATTATTAGGAATGATCAGAAGAAACATGAACATCATATATCATTCAGAACACTTGAAATAATTTAGGTAATACATGTTAAGTGCTTATATCAAGATCTTTGGAGGCAAGTATAAGTTAAGTTTATCACTTTCTTATGCTGTTTGAAGGAAAAACTTTTGTGGAATACACTTACTTACATTATTGAAATTGGTCATAGCATTCTTTAGAAGCAGCATGCTTTTTTAGTGGATAAAAAAAATTCATTTGTAGCAACTTCTCTTTCATCCATTACAATTAATCAATTTTTAAAGGTTGCTGTAAACTGATTATTTTAGATATAGTATTAGATGTAGATTTTTTGCAGGTGCACGATTTAGAGTTTGGAGGCACCCTGTTTGCTTAAGAGTATTTTTTCTTTCTTAAAAGAAAGGATGAAGTAGCCTGTTGCTGGAGAGCAGATCATCTGATGATACTTATTCAAAGCATGAAACAGTTTTTTATTGTAATTTGTATTCATATTGCAATATCTTAATTATTATTAAGTTGAGTACAATAAAAACATTCAAAAACCTTTGAAATATAATGATTAAATTCATTTAAAATAGCAATCATTTCAATTTTAGCTCACGTAGAATCTTGAGCACCTAATACTAGATCTGTATGAACAGGAGAGACATCGACCACACCTCTCAGTCCAAGCAGTCCTGCAGAAGATAGCTCAGGAGAACTTGGGAGTCTCCAAGACAAACCTAGACTGCAACGTTCAAAGGCACAGAGTAGAAAGACATTCAGGTTGAGGAAGAGCAGAAAAAGCCAGCTTGGAGTAAGTAGAAATCTGTAGAAAAGAATTGTTTGACTAGTTTACATATATACTTTTCTTGCTTACCGTATCTGCCCACACTCTCCAGGTTGAGAGCCCCTGGTGTAAAAGCGAGCACGACTAGCAACAATTTTTTTTTTTTGGGGGGGGGACAATTCAGGATTACTCGGCGACCCTTCGCAATTTATACCCATTGGTACCAAAACTGTCGTCGGGGGGGCGGGGGGGGGCGAACCTCCTCCATTGGTCCTGCTCAAGACATTGAATTCTCTTGATTTCTCTTCCGTCCTTGCAAGATTCAGTCCTGTGTGTTCAAATTGAGCTGGTGGAATCCGGGGGGGGGGCACCACAACGCAAACAAAACAAAAAGGTTAGAAGTTTCCTTTGTTATCTTTTCTTCGTTTTGTACGCACTTTCATTTATTGGGCAATTTCGATTAATATTTTATTTGTATAGAAATTATGTAATTAATTTAAATTTAATACTATTATGTAAGTATCAGCGCTAATGACACTCACAAAAACTCCATCACCACGCATACCTGTTTCTTATATTCAACAACTATGCCTGGCCTCCCACCCAAATAACTGATCGGCTGGAATCCGCCCCTAGCAATATAATCTTGAAACGGCGTGGTCGGGACGTGCCCCGCAGGTCGCCCGCCCGCGCGCGCAAGCACCCGCAAGTGGCCGCACATTCCGGCTCGGAGCGCAAGAGCTGCCGCGCTGGCGCGCGCCAGCAGCGCCCCGGCGGGCCGGCGCCAGCCGCGTCGGAGCTGTCGTGCACCGGCATACCGCGGACGCCCCCCGCGCCCAGTCGGCGAGCCGCCCTGCAGCACGAACAGGCGCCGCAGCAGCTGCCGGCGCCGGCGCCGCCCACGCCGTCGCAGGCGGCGGGGCCGGCCGGCCACCTGGGGCCGCTGCCGCGCGGCCTCTCGCGCCGCGCACGCTCCGTCGACAGCGGCGGCCGCGAGCCCTCGTGGGACGAGGTACGACGCCATGCAACTCTCCAGTACACCCTTCTCCAAATTTCGATGGTTGTTTAATCGAATACCATAAGCATCTTCCTTCACGGATTGGGCATGTTGCCCTCTTCCAACTCGATTTTCCCTCTTTCTCGGTCCTTCCTCTACGTATATATTTCAGACGTACTGCAGGTGTTTCTTGCGGCTTTTTTACTTTATCATATACGGAGTAATACACGTTGTGTGAAGAACGCTATGCAACGCTGCGACAAAAATAGCGATTTTATGACAGAAAAATTCTAATAGTTGTGCATTGATACAGAAAACGTAAATATATCTTGTTCCATATGTAGTAAATTACTTCCACCAACATTTTATGTAGTCACATTTGACAAATTCTGCGCACTTCATAGCCAAAAAGTGTTGTCTTTATTTTATTTTTTCAAAACATCCATACGTCAATCATTAGTGAACAGCATTAGCGCCTAAACTATTTGTAGCATTTTTACAAATTAAAATTAATATTACCCGGTCGAGAGATAGTAGTGGAGATAGTTATGTAATAATATAGAAAATCAATTTCGAGATTCCAAGTGAAATACACGTCTTGGGGGTCTGAAATCGAAAAGGTATTTTTTAACGTCTGTCCTGTCAGTAGGATTTTTCCTTCTCGATATGGCCTTACTCGAAGCTCTGCGATTTTTAAAGACATTCTATAAATTTTGGACTTACTTTAAATGAAGCCCCTGACAAAATTTCAACTTTTTCTAAAAAGTACTCCAAGTTTTTCTTTAAATTTCTCGTAAGAATTGAATTAAATACACTTACAAAGACTGCGTAGGTCTGATATTCATTATTAACTCCGTATTTTCGAAAATTTGAAAAGTTTCAATTTTTTTCGCCATGCTACAATTACAAAATTGAGATAAGAGATTTTTTTCAAATGAAATTTGTTCTTCATAGTTAGTTATTTTATTAATATCAAGTACTTTGAAAATTGTATTAGTTTATCGCGCAATTTTGAGTAAAATGTGGACACTATTAAAAAATTAAAAAGTTTCTCAAAAACTGCTTAATTTTTTCTTTGAACTTTTTGTGGGGATAGTAATAATTGCACTGTAAAGATGACATAAACGTCATTTCGCTGTATTCTGTAGTTTTTTAAACATTACAGAATTTTAATTTTTTGATCTTTCACGTAATAGTTAATATTTACATTACGTTGCGTTTTGTGTACATTATTGCATTTATGCCTAGAAGTATTTCAAATAATTTCCAAAGAAAGGTTCTCTAAAACACAAAAGTTTATTGTGAAAATGAGCTCAGAATTGCGCGTTTTTAGAAGCACTCAAACAACATTTTCTCAAAAAGCAGTTCCAATTTTTTCGACGAACATTTGCATAAATGTCCAGGTTTTACTCTTATTTGGTATTCGTAAAGAGATATCTTAACTCTGCTAACACGAGACGCTACTGGTGGAAATACATTTTCCATTACACAACGGCCCATTGTTCTGTAAAACATGTCACATATTGATGTGGGTCTAAAAAATCTACATTGCGTCAGAAACTGTTTTGGTGTTGAGAGAATTCTAATTTTTTCTACCTCCCTGCACCTTCATGCATTGTACTAATGGTGCTTCCTTTCATTGTCAGGTATCACAGACGTCAAGTACATCTGGCTATCGAGAATCATACACCATGTTAGCTACAACACTGGAAAGCCCTCCGACTCCAGGAGCCGCAGTTGTGGCCGTTTCTGGAGGATTGGTCCATGGGCGAAGCTTCCCACCCCCTCTAGCGTCACCGGATGCTCATGACTTACCCTCCAGCAGTAGCGCTGCCACCAACTGTCCTTTAGCTGAAGGCAGCTCGCCAGATTCATCTACTCGTAGCCCTGGGGGCGAAGAAGTTGCTCTGCTAGGACGCAGAGATCATTCCGCATCTCAGCACTCCCTCCTTATGATGTTTGACACTCAAGATGAAGATACACTGATATAAAGGTAGCCATTCCCGTTCACAAGATCATGTTGAAAGAGAAATTTATATTGTAAAGAGAAGTTAATGTTAATCTTCTCGTGTTGATGTCTTTCATATTTAAATAGAAATGTATTTTGTTTCACTTACGACTGTTTACATCTGAGCATCATTTTATTAGTTATATAAATGAATTTTTATAAAAAGAAGAGAATTTTAACATGGAATGAGAAGTGATTAATTAATTTTTATAGGAAAGTATGAATTCAAATTATACATTTTCTTGTTGGTGATTGAGAATTGAATGTATTAAGAGTTAAAATTATATGTTAAGTTGTTTAGAGGTATATTAATGAATCTGAAGGTGCATTTCATTTTATTAATCTGCAAATGCCATTTCTATTTTGACCTTAAATTATTTAATATTTAATGAATTGTTGTAACTCTGCTGTAAATAAATGATGCACAGGTGATGAAAATATTTGTAAAGGACATAGCATATTGCTTATGATTTTGTGTGAATATACTCATATCTGTTCCACATAAATATAACAGAAAGAAAGAGTAGTTTATATGTGTTTTCAGAAAATGTTCCTTTTGCTGAATGTTTTGTGCATGTTGTACCATTGTAAAAATGTATGTTGTATATTATCACCTAATATTTCTCAGTGTGCAATATGAAATCACGAGTACATATTGTGGAACATTTATATTCACTCTTCTTGATGTGTGCAGGGAATTATTTAATTTCATATCTGGAAATCACTCAAACTCTCATTTTGATGTCTGGTCCAGTGTAACTGTGTCATTTGTGTGTTATATGCAAAAAAAGTGAGTAGATTACACATAGGTATTTTTTGAGTACAAATTCAGTACTATCTTACTACAATTGCATGTATTTCATTGAAATTTGATATTGAAACCTCAGCTGAAAATTTGTTCCTTTGTAGATGCAATGAAGAAGTGTTGATCAGAAAAGTAAAATTTTCCATTTACTGATCTTCCCAAAACATCTTGAATATTAAAGGCTAATCAGTACTAAATGTAATATTTCAAAAAGATAAACATTATTTTCGTTTTTTTCTTGTGAATTTTCAAAACTAAAGGAAATTGATGTGACTGAAACTGTTGAACCAGGGCTATTTCCCACATGATGTTTTCTAAGAACTGACAAGAAGACTGTATTGCATGATGCACCATGTGATTAAATGATCTGAAATATGACTCGCTGTGTGATGGAATCAGGGAAGAATGTGTTAATGTTAGACAATGAAAAATAAAATATTTTTATCAGAAAATCATTTTTGATTTTTTTCTCTGATTTAGTGTGTATATTCTAATTGTTCCTGCTACTACTATGATAAATACATAGAAACAGACATTTTCATTGAAAGAAATTTATTGAATATTCACATGGCAAAAGATTCCAGTGGCGGCGAGTGAACATATGTTGAGGCTAGGCAATATAGATTAGATACTGAACAGTGAAGAATTCCAGGTCGGAAGTATGGGAGCCAAGTCGAACTTCAGTCCAACTTTTTTGTAATTTTATTTAATTTATTCAAAACAATTGTCACAATGATATCATTACATTCCAATTATTTTCATGAAGCACTTGTAGGCGTAATTTCTAGATTCTCATATTATAAAAAATGTTACTCTGAAAATAATTCAGAAGTCGGATTTTTTTTCGAAGAATTTAAGAGTCACTGAATTACATATGTGATCTTTTGACATCTAATGTTTTTGTATAGCTTTTAATAAATGTTTCGACAGAGAACATTTTCACCGGCGAGATCTCTATGTTGAAGCCTTTAACATCCCACACTAATCTCTAGGCCCAATCGCCTCTGCAAGTCGAGGAGACTTGAAGGCGTGGGGTTGAGAAGTCTCACGGCCTCGCCTATCAACTCGGTGTAATATATATCTTACACCGTCCTATCACTCGCGACATGATGCGAACGAATCTTCGATCAAAAGAGTTTGAATTTTTTCTATCACGTTTAACTCATAATCCGTATATTCTTCTCCTCCATCTCCATCTCCTTCTCCCATCTTCCATCTTCCATCTTCCATCTTCCATCTTCCATCTTCCATCTTCCATCTTCCATCTTCCATCCAATCCCAACTCTCAACTCCCGGAACTCCATTCCGAACTCCAACTCACCAACCTCCCAACTCCCCAACTCCCACTCCCAACTCCCAACTCCGAACTCCCTGTGGCGGAGTTCTTCTCTGATTTCCTTGGTTAGATTATTTAAATTTCTGAGTCTGATATTTAAATAAAATTGCGAGTTAATATTTACAGACAATTACAGATGACACAATCGGCCACTTACCTAAGTTGCGTCGTGTACGCTGCTGAAACGCTTCTCAGCCGCTCGTTTTCCTAGCATTCCCTATTCATCGCTCTACCAGCGGATCTTCCAGTCGCCTCCTCTTGCAGTGTAGTATCGGGCATAGTTGATTTTTCTCTTCTCCAGCTGGTTATGTTCCCTCAATATGTGGGACTCCTACCAGGTTGAGGAAAGGTAATCCTTTCCTCACAGTTTTGCGCGCGTACGTTTTACAGTGTATTTTCTCTATAAGTACTATGTCTCTATCTATTGATTTATATGTTTGAGGCTCGTGTTATATTTGAATTTTTTTGTTGTTTTTTTAACATTCCTCGCCTGATACGGGTACTCGCAGAGAACGTGACCTATACTGATTGCGTCGAAAATACAGGCAGACATTTATCTGACGTGGATAGACTGTTCCTTATTGCAGGGCCCTGGAATAACGAAATGAAGGTTATCAGTTGTTGATTTAAGAAATAAAAATCCTCTAACACGTGGGTTGTAAGCCGGTAATCCTTGGTCTAGTTGAGTCTTTGAACACCCGAAAAAATTCGAATGATGTGGCAAAACGTTACTCTTCGTCGTGTTGAAAATGCTAGCGATCTAAACGCGTTCAGGCGTCCCGATTTTTCTCCAAAATTGATATACCAGATCGATCTGGTTGATGTCGCGGTCCTCGCCTTGAATTTGAAGACGATACTCAATTTGGGTTGGGGGTATTTGTCTCCTTCCCTGAGGCCCTGAGATTCACTTCTCAATTTTTTTCATAAAAAATGGGTTCATTGTTTTTTATTAAATTTCATTATTTGATCGTGTGGAGCAATGGTGCGGTCCTTAATTTTTGCCTGAGTTTTTGCCGCTGAAAAGCTATTTTTTTTGAAGAATCTGCAAAAGTTTCAAAATTTTTTCAGTCTTTCCTAAACTAAACGTACGTTGATACATACTTCGTCTTTTTTCTCTTGGACTGAAGATTCTGTTGTCTCCTAATAGATAAATATTTTGAAATTACTTCATCGTACATATCGTTTTCTCTGTCTGGCTTTGCTTCGACTGGTTCATCCTGCCGTTGCCCTACTGCATTCATTACTTTTCCTGGACTTCCAGGTCCCCATATGATATAAGTAAAAGTTGGGCACTACGTGATTTCTATCCCCCTTCCGCTGCTCACATTTCTCAAATTTGATCTTGGTACGGAAGGATATGGGCAGTTCCGGGTCCTGCAGTTCGCCGCCTAGTTCGCCAGTGTTTTCGAAATGCTTTGACCTTGGGCTGAAAACGGAAGATGTGTGCTGTTCAGCAGTGGCTACATGTTTTTCCAAAGCATCCGGGGCAACAGAAGACTCCTTCTCCCAATCGTTTGCTTGCAAGTGGTTAAAGTTTTTGAAAACAATTTATTTATACAATTGTAAAATTAAACTCTAATCAAATACGTATCTGTTTGAATTATTGTTCCTTTAACGTATTGCCAGCGTGCCTCATGACATTAATTTGCGGACGCTTTGAAGAGACTTAGCTCGCCTCAGGAAGAAGTTTTCCGTAATAGGAAGTCGCGCAGAACGGGAGACACAAGTGTCTCCTGTGGGTGTCTCGGCTTATAAGCTTCTTTCACTGCTTGATGCTACTACATGAGGCAGGGTCCTGACGTGAGTCGGTCACGGTGACCTCCTATTCAGCGAGTTACAGAGCCAGTGGGTGGTCCTGCAGCTGTGGAGAACCTCGTGCGTGGTGCACGAAAAGACTCGGCCACGCGACGGGTGCATATGCAGCCAGGTTCGCGGAGGCTTCGCATCACTAAGTTGACGGAAGCCTGCGGACTTTAGGTCTCTGTGATGTCCCAATGTGTGTGCCGTGCTCTCCAGTCGTCGAGGGGGTCATGTAAAGGCCGAGTGGTCTGAGCTGCCAGATTCACGCCGATTCTCATCGGATGATCCGCCTCTGCGATCGGCAGAATCCCCGTTCTTGGTCCGCGCCAGACGGCCACGTCTGTTGTGTCCGCAGCGTGACAGTCCGCGGTCACGGAGCTCATGCTTTGTTGCGTCGCTTCTCAAGAAGTAGTGACGATGCACAACTCGAAAAGCATCCTTCAATCGTTTGGATTTCTCTCCGCGATGCAAGAGGAACTGAGGTAAGGCTCTCATCGAGCTACGTGGTGTAGTAGCAGTTATTAGTGGTATGAATACTGTTGTCTGTTGTGTTTGTATTTTGTGTAATTGATATTTGTTATTGAAAGCTCTTGTGTCTTTCTTGGACGTATCCTGACGTCACGATTCCGTAGTTAGTAAAATAGCGTCCACATGCAATTGATAAGTACATCTAATGTTATTCTTATAAGGATCGATTTATTTGCATAGGCTAATTAGATCTTTTTTAAATTAAACGATTCGGCCTTTACTTCATTTTGTCGCTGTTAAGATGATGATATATATTAAGTATAGTATCTATAAGTGATATTACTACCTATATATAGTCGAATACGTACTTATATAATCATAATATTACTATAGTAGTAACAGAGTTGCGTTCTACCAGCCTCGGTGCCGGTTCTCCGCTCTCAGTCTCATGATCTCTATTGGACCTAGATCATCTGGCAATTTTTCGACGTCATACCTCTGCTCCTTCCGATGCACGTTGGTCTTCCTCTCTTCTGTCTCTTCTGCTTCCACCCATTTTCTAGCACTCGGTTTTGGCAGTCTTTCGTCTGTCTATTCCGCACATAACTCCGTACTAGTACGATTTTTTTCTTTTCTCTATTCGTCTAGCGATAGTCTTTTGACATCCTTTCTATTCTTATATCGTTCCGTCCTGATTCATGTCAGCGTCTGCTTATAACCAGCTTCTACGCCAGTAGTCCATTTCAAAGGGCCAGCAGCTTCCCTTTTGTTCTTTTATCGATCTCCCAGGAACTTCTGAACCGTATGTTTTGACACACTCTTACCTAAGCGAGGGAGTAAAGACGTCTTTTAGCTAGTGATGTGAATGGTTTTGTTCCATAAGACAGAGTTTTACTTTCGTGTCCCGTTTCTCCCCCCAAGCTTATTCGCTCTCTCAATTTCGTCATGGCTATTTCCCTTATTGTTAAAAGTACACCAAGGTAATTTATATTTGTTTACCCCTTTCATTTTTCCTCCATTTTCCACAAGAAGATTCTTCTATTTCATTTTTACCAACTGCCAGGTATTCAGATTTGTCCATATTAATATTTAGTCCTGCTTTTAAAAAAGTGGTTCATTGGAGTTTAACGGATGCATGAAACTCAATCGTCAGCCAATCTTCTGCAATTACTACCTGGGTCATCGGTAAAATTATATACGTAAACAAATTTATCCTCGTCAGATCGTCAATTTCCCATTACTCTGCATTGTTTCCTCCACTGCTTGGTAAAATTTTGATGGCAGATATATTTTAACAGTGTTGGAAGAAAGACAAGCACCTGTCGGCAGTTACCTTTGCTGACTGGGAATGGATCCGAGAGCCTGCTGGTAGATCTTAATCTGAGGAGGGTGTTATTCTATATAGATTCTGTTGTGGCTCCAATTAAGTTTTCACTGATTTGCAGTCCCATCCATTTCTTCCCATACTCCTAGCAACCGGGTACATTGTCATACGCCTTCTGAAGATCAATGAAACCCAGATGAACTTCCCCTACCTCTCCTTGTTTCCTCTTTTCTATAAGTTGTTTTAATGTAATATATTGTCTATGACCGACCTGCCGGCAGTAAAAACGCACATTGTTCCTCTCCTTATTTTTTTCCTTTTATCCTCTTCTTCTATTTTATTTGTATTAATTTTTCTATCCAGTCTACCTATAGGAATCCAATAACTGCTAATTCCTCTGCAAGTTTGTTTCATTGTTCTAGATCCTTTCTCTTATGGATTGGTTGTTTTAGGTAAAGACGTTTCGCCACTCCTGAGGAGGATTTTCTCCCATTCATGCACCTTGTGGAAACATGTATTTGAGCATTTGGTGCAGGGTTTATAAGGGACGCGATAATTTTCAGTAATTTCTGCCTGAGGATATATCTCCGGACCAGGTGCCTTATTGCGATTTCATTGGTCTTAAGTGCTTTTTTCTAAATCTTTAATTGGTCAGATCTACCCTTTGCTCAAATTTTACTTCCTTGTGTGTTTGGAAGTTTCCTGTTTTCTAGAAGCAGTCTTTCGAAATACTCTTCCCATCTTATTGATTCCAATGTTTGATAATGCGATATTGTTTTTTCTCATACGATTTAATAGATTTAAATTACTTTCGCAGGCTTCTGAGCACACGTGGCTCCA